AACCTGGAGATGATGGAGTAGGGCACTAAGCTTTTTAACTCCACTCTCAGCTCCATCTTCAGCAGCTTCTCATACTAGCTGCCTCAGGTGATTCCAATCACTTGGAGAGAGCCGAGATCGCTTGCGGTGGCTCTTATCAGGTGTTGAACTAAACTTTTTGAGTATAACGTCGGGATCTGCTGGCCATATACCAGTGGCGCTAAAGGCCTTCAAGATATTATTTTTTAGTAGAGGATGAGCTCCAGGCTCGCCAGAACAGCGGAAAAAAGTCTCCCTTCTTGACTGAGACGAGGCCTTGGGCGTTGTAGAGGTGATTAGTGAGCTCATTTGAGTAGCTGGTGGAGAGTGGTTTAAACATCACCACATCAAGCGGTTGCAGTGTGTGAGTTGAATGAGGAGGAAACACCATAAGGAGTATTCTATGGCGATTGCAATACTCAATAAACTCGGGCGTGACGTGAGATCCATGGCCATCAAGGATAAGTAATCGCCATCTCCCTGGTTTGTTCCTCGTGCAGCGATCAAAAACTTGCTCAAGCCATGCTAGCCTAACGGCATTATTGCTCCAACCTGACGGGGTTGATGTTATAAACACGTCATGCTCACCAACAGCAATTCCTTCCACCTAGTTTGATCTAATGGCTCCTCGCGCTGACGTGTAGATAAGGCCTGGCGGTAATGAGCTCCCACCTGCGCAGGTGCAAGCCAGGAGCGTTAAAAACTCACGTGATCCATCTTGAAGGGATGCTCTAACCTCTTTCTTATCCCATTGACGCTTGCTGAAGATCCTCTTGCCTGTACCAACGATCCCAATAAGGAAACCCTTCTCATCCATATTGTATATATCACCAGCCTCAAGGCAACACTCCTTAAGCTTTTGATGTAGAAGGTCGAAGTAAGCCTCATACTTCATCAGAGAGTCATCCTGGTGGCGCGTACGATCCATGGCGCTGGTCCTTTTTGAGACAAACTTATCTTGGTGTCGGTTGATAAAGCGAGTAACCCAGCTCTCGCTAACCTCTCGTTTAGCTATTGCTGATGCAAAATTCTGGATCATTCGCCTTGTAGGTGGTAGAGCTCTCTTGGTAAGCTTTTCAATATATAGTATAAGCTCCGATTCCTGTTGTGGACTGAGTGCTTGTCGTTGGGCGTTACCAGCTTCTTTTGACCCTGTCACACGTCGCCACCTCCGCCCGAGCGTCGAGCGATTAACGCCCCATTTTCAGCAACCTCTATTAGCGTGTATCTTTCTCCTGGTTCTCGCGAGTTCAAGTCTGCGATTGTATCGTCAATTGGAGCCATGGTTGTTGAGTTATTGCGCATCAAAATTGTGGTGTTGAGACGCGTCATGATGTTCGGCAGGGCATGATCCGAATCCGGG